CGGAGCCCAGATTTCAAGCGGATAGGAATCCTTTACGGTTATATCTGACAACCGTCATATCTACTGCTTCTCGTTGTTTGCTATCAAAATGCCTGGCGAAAAACACTAAAAAACTGGCGGCAGTTTTTTTAAGGAAGTCACCCGTGTCGCATTTTATATACGCAGTATCTTCGCACAACGCTCAAACTGGCCAGGGCAAAGAAACGATCGTCAGCGCAATGCATAAGTAGGAACGCCCAGATATGAATTCTCACACTTTTTCCCGCAGGACAATAAGGATCACGAATACCTGCATTTTCCGACTGGAGTGGAGGACAAACAGCGGATCCACTAGTCTGCCTCAACAACCAGTTTGATTCTTTGTCCTAGTCCGATTGACCTTTTTTCTTCTATTTTTCTATCGTAAGGTATCGTTAAACGACCACTTTCACGTGAACTACGGCCACCTCAACATTAGTCAGTCGATGCTAGCAACTCTGATTCAATGATGGATACGCACAAATCTGTGCTTCTTATACAATAGTGTCCTGCTTCTCCAACATTTTGTTGCGATCATTCGCTCGTTCTCTCGTTTTAAAGCGCCTTTTTTCAATAGTCCGGAATGAGGAACCTTTTGACGCCGCTAAGCTGATGGTTCGAAGAGTTTTTACGCTTCAAAGCCATGATTTATGGCAGAGATTGCGTTAGCGAAGAAACGTACAAGACAACGTAAGCCATGAGATCTAAGCCTATTTGAAATAAAATTGAAAATGAAAAGGACGAAAGAGACAAGGTGAAACAGGCCACTGTGATGGCGGTTGGTTCGTACTCTGTCAGGTATGAGCAAGGCGTGTTACTAAGTCGCTTCTGGTTAGCTCCGAACAAAAAGTGTCCTTGCAATGCCTCCACCATCTCGACCAGGACAACGAAAGATTTCTATCGCCATAACCACCACAGCTACCACTACTACTAGAACCAGAGCAACAGCTGACAACCAACCCCAGTGATTAACCAGTCCCCTGGTCCGGCTGCGCAGCATGAGCCTTCTTATGAGCTAAAGCTGGCAGACGTGGCGACGAAAGGCCCCACAGAGCAATGCGGGTGGTACGAAGACATAAAAGCTTAGCTTAGACTACACCATCCGCATGTCGAGCAATAATAAAAGGGCGGAATACAATTGTAATAACGCATAAAAACAGCGTGGTAATGTAGGGGATATAGATCTTGATAAGGAGTGAAGTAACGAAACATATTGAAGAGAGGGGGGTTCAGTTAGTCTTCGAACAAAAAGCATTTATTGTAACTTTGATAGCAGTTGGGCTGGATGTGAATAATGAGCCAGGAAAAAGCTCTGCTCTTTTCGACGTCCGTATTTGTCGCTGTGAGTGCCTTATAATCATTAGGGACAGAAAGGTGTATACTTATTATATAAAAATCAATGATATACGTTACATATATATATATATATATATACATCATATTGTCGACACCAGCGCATCAGGTGTTCTCTGATACCAAAAAGGACGCAATATGAAGTTGGATATTCTAAAAAATGAAACATGTCCTTCAACAGACTAATCAAAGCCCGTTCGATGCAGCAGTGTGAATGACAGGCTGCTGTGTCCGTCCCTCGCAAGCAATTCATGATCGTCATTTATAGAGGCATCAGAGCTGATAAGAATACTCAGAGCCGACACCGTCATTGGTGTTTGTATAAAACATAAGCAGTACCAAGAAGGCGTAGGTTTTTCCCTTCAGATTGCATACGGACTACGAAACTCAGGTCGCATTCGCAACGAGGTGAAATGCTGGTTGAATACAGGAGCCTATGATCGATCCGGATATGATGCTTGCGATAATAGGATAACGCTTTCAGGCCGATTTAGCTTGCAAAATTAACTCCAGCTCGTGTGATGTTGGTTGTTGGCTAAACAACAAGGGCTGACCTAGATCAGGGTCTCTGTTGCCGAAATGGCGTTGGTGGTAGGTGGAACTCATAACATCTACTGTATCTAGGAGGACAGCAGGAAGTACGGAATAATTCGTTAAGTAGAATAGCATTAAGTTGCGTCGCTGGCGGCAACGGATCCTTTTCTTTTATGTGTCATGTGATGTCAGCCTAGATAGCGGCCTAGATCGGGCAAAAGGTGAACTCCTGTGAGGCACGGATTGTCACTGCCTCTAACGGGACGTGTCCTCAAAAGCACTTTGCCATCACTTCCGCGCGAGCGACACTCGAGTCGCTCTACTTGGCTAACCGAATGTGACGGTCTTGTTGCTCTACCGGCCACAGTACGTACTAGTCACTCTTTCATTGGGAGTAAATTCATCACGACGACTCTTGCACCAACTGGCACATTTACAGGCTGTTATGAAGCTGTATATGAGCTTGAAGGTCGACATAGAGCGACTCCATCTTTATTTTTAGGGGGAAGATGGCAGACAAGTTGGCGTCAAAACGCCCGCTCCGTTTTATTACTCCAATATTTACAAGAAGAAATTTGTGGCGACATACGAGCAAATAGGCCGTTTAGAAGCGTAGGGGAAACTAGAAAAGAGGTATGACGGTGCAACTATATGATTATATAGCGACAGCCACGACACTCAGTCAGCTGCTGAAGATAGCTCTTGGTTAGATAATAGACTGTTTTAAATCACATGGATAAGCTTATGGCAATAATCAAATGCCCCTTTGATTTGATTTATTTCGGTCGCTGTAGTCAAGAGCTTCATATAAAGGTTTTCAGCCAAATACACAAAACGTTTCTTAACGTTTCTTAATAAACAAAAGAAGAAAAGACGATCGCCATGCCGACTAGTCAGCTGCTCAAACTCTGATCAGATGTTAGACAAAGTATCATTAGCCCTGAATATTTGACTACGAGAAAAAGTGGCTAGGAAATCTAACACATACGTATTTTATAGCAGCTAATCTACGTTACTGGATTGATGCAACGAGAAGTATATTAGCATCCTACTCTGAAATTTATCTGATCTTTTTACTCCTATCATAAATCTCTTTGATTTCTTTACGCGTGGCTACATATAATTATTTGTGCCAATGAACACTGTTAAGGGATTCTGCGGTTGTGGGTGTCTACCAACGTGGACAATAACAGGTTGTGGTAACGGAGCGGAGCTAAAGACTATTGTGTGGCCTTCGGGTATTTATCACTAATCATTAATAAGTGGCAGTTCTTGCGCTGCTGACGGAGAGATTCGTCGCGGCGCATACCGTGAAGACTAAGTAGCGGAATACGTGGTCAGGGATCGTTATATGAAGACCCACTAAAGGTTGTGTAGACTAGTACAGGAAGGAAGATAAGAACCATACGACGTATACGCGCAGCAGCGAATACGTTGTTATGCCTGCTGCTGGGTATTGGATTCGTAAGTATTTTGTAATAGTAATATATATATTTTTTATACTCTAGGTGCATTTGTCTCCGTTCAAAGGGCTGTTAGTGGACAGGTTCTAGTCAGCTATCGAATATAAAAATGTTCTGGTGGGTTACGAATTTTGGTTTACGTGGGACTATAAGAAATATCATCGGCCATTGGTTTAAAAGTTCCACGAAGGGTGTCTTAAATTAGGAAAATTAGTCCCGTCGAAGATTTTCTGCAAAGGCGAATAACGGAAAGGTCAGAACTTCAGGACATTAAGACATTAGTGCATTGAATTGTGGCCTTTGATAAAGAATGGCCATCACCCTGAATCTAACGTGTAGCTTACAATATCTATTCACATTAGTATAGTGCAATTGTCACATTATAGGATCACGGCTCAATAACTGATGACAGTGAGATAATGATGAGGTAATGGGAAAAAACTCGGCATAAAGCAGCCAAGATCAGTGAACAAAAATAAAATACTCTAATTTCCCGAAAACGCTCGGCTTTATAGCCGCAAATAGGCTAGCAAAAATGCAGGAATGACGGTTTGAGGTTGTATTAATAACTATAATCGTTATATATTGCTTCCACTTGTTACCATTTTTTAAATCTCGACAACTTTTTAGTGTAAAAATCATTAAAATTTTAACATGCTGTTGAAATAGCTCTTCGAGTCTTTATAGACCTTCGTATCATATACTTTTGCAGCGGGGAAATGAATAAGTTACCCTCTAAATAGCAGCAAATCATACGAATACTAGTGCATGCTTCGACTGAAAGTTGAAAAAAAAACTAAGCCTATAAAAAAAAAAGTTAGAATGCGCCATGTCACGTTTTATACTGGACGACGTAATGCATACTAATTCTTTGCTGTTTATACAGTAATATCAGTATCAGAAAATACGGTACTGAGATCAGCGCTTATAATTATGCAATAAGGCGTCTTCAAGATTACAACCGATGCCAGTTTTGACCAAGAAAACTTTTCAGCATTACATAGAAAGCATACATCGTACTACAGGACGTCGACGTATAGCGTTATGACCGTTACTTTCAGTGTTTTTCAACCGAGCAACATGACCTGCTCTTATTGATACTACGTGTATTACGGACTGACGTGGCAACGCCACAGCGTATATTATAATGAACTAAACTAATACAGAGAAATAACTTCAGGAGTCACTAGCCGTCCGTGGTTATATAGCAGCACCACAGCAAATAACTCTGAAGCGCTCGTTTCTATCCAAGTTGACGGAACCAAATCAAATCCACTTCAACTCTTTGTTTTTTTATTTAACATAGCAGTAATAGCTTGTTTTTATATCGAAATAGAGCTAGCAAATGCAGCGGTCCCAAATAAAGCCTTCTATTTCGAATGCCTCATGGATTGCAATGGTCATTTCGTGAAAAGTGTGCAATTCTTCATCAAATAACAGTGACACAGTTTATCATCAGATATCTCAACACTGAGCGCAGGCAACTGGTCAGCGTGGATCAGTTTGAATATACAGAGTCTACTGAAAGCTTCCCCAAATCATCTAAGCAAAAAGTAATAGCAGGCACAAAATAGTATAACATTAATTTTATTAATCCAACCCAACGAATCTGCTATTACCTGAATACTACAGGTGTTCTTTTTGTCCCGGGAAACGATGAAGAACGGAACATGGATTTACCTCGACGTACTGGCGCCTCCGCATTTCCGATCGAAGCCGCCCGAAATCCTGTACGTAAAAGTCGGCGAATCCTTGGTACTTCCCTGCAAGGCCGATGGTAAGTAACTTACCAATACCTAAGCTCACAGCGCACCCTTCGTGCTCCGGGACCTCCCTATATCCGTCGTCTGTCCTCTTGGGCCCCAGCAACTTTTTGTGTTACCCGTCTGCCTGTCTTTTGCTAACATTAACAGTGCCCCAGCTCCATGCGGCACTAGTGGCATTAAGCGTTCGATGGGGCGGCTTGCACAGAAACGACTCCGTTGTGGAGCCCTCTCCAGGGTCTAACATTCGACGACAGGCCCCCCTTTTGCAATACGGGAAGAAGAAACCTTTTCGCGCGTGTTTCTGTATACTAGCGTCGCGTCCGCTTATCCGTCATCCGCCATCCGCTGATGTTGCTATTCTGCAACTGCTAAACAATCGCTCTCACTTGTATATCTGCTTACATCTATTCGGCTCGGGTATGTGTCTTTTAGGGTCAGTTTGTGCATCTGCGTGCATATGCGTATATGTGTGTGTGCGTGTGTGTGTATGAATCGTACAATAGCCCCATTATGCTCCTATGTAAGTATACGTTTCGTCGCGAGTGCAGATGTTAGAGGGGCTCGCTCCATGCACCGGTTGAGCCGCAGTACGACGCTGCCATCGCAGCCTCGCATCCATTATGTAGGAACCTTCGCGTACTGCTGAACGATGCGCAGTATGCCAGTAGTTCCTGTTGTGTTTCTTCGATGGTTCATTTTCGTGCAACCCTCAGAAATAAGCACGACAAGTCTCGCTAGCGGTTGCGACGTGCACAGTTCATTCATCGCTAACGAGTCCGTACCCGTTTGGAGCTCTAGTAGTGGATCCGCGCTGCACTCGTTACACGCTAAAATACGTATGGCTACGATGCATGAAACAATAACAACAGCAGCACCAGTGGCGAAGGTCAAACACTTCTGTTCATTGCTTTCCTTCTTTGATTTCTCATTTACTTATAGGTCCTTCGTTGCACTACGAGATGCTTGTTGTCGCAGTACCTGAAGCTTATTCTAGGATTCCGAAGATGGGCATGTGGGGTGGTAAAAAAAAATAGCATTTTCGCCTTTTACCGCAATTCACAACCCGGGAAAGGTGCGACATACATATGCAGATGTCGAAAATTTCTTTGCCACACCCTATACCTCTTTTAAGCGCCTAATATAAATATTACATTTTGTTACCTGAGTAATGCAATCGCAAAGGTAATATAGGAAAATTAACGATTTCCAGGCTGTAAATAACAGCTGATCACCGGCAAACAAACAAAGAAGAAAACGAAACCAAGAGACGAATATAGCCATTATTTATGCACCAACCTAATAAAACTACCGTTTCAGCGTATTTTCAGTCCGACTCGTAGCGACAACTCGCGCGTAAAAATGGAGGACAACAATGGCAATGACGAACATTGTTATTGCTGCCCCATATACCTTAGGAAGTACCCAAGTTTGGCAGACCATACTATTTAGAGGACTCGAGGGAGATAAACAAATAACTAGAAAACACGGTTAGGTTGCACAGCCTTCAGGCCTTAAAGGAGCGACGTGCAAAAACCGATAAGGTTGTCAGCGATTGTCGACAATCGTTACTTGGAAACAGGAAGAATATGGTACACCGACAATGAAAGACTTTGCATCGAAGAACAGAGTCTCGATGGCTTGGTATTTTATTATACTAAAAATACAATAACACAGAGGGTACGTACGGTAAAGATCAGCCATGCCTCGGATTAATCGGTTGTGATTAAAGTTACCAGATTCATCATAATTTTTGATTGGTAAATTGTTTTTTTCTGAAGAGGGTTCCCGCTAGTCTACACGCTAATCGTTGTCTTAATCTTAACGTAATATTTCTCCTGATAAGTTCACTGTGAAGCTGCACACAGGCCTAGCGTATTTAAAACATCACAAAAATATGTCAGTTGAGATGTTTTAAATGACCCTGTTGAGGCTAGGGCTTGCTTTGATCAGTTTGGAACTCCGCAGGTCATGAATGGGAATGGACTTTTAGGCTTACATTCCACGCTGTTTCCAGTATTGATTAAATTATCTGAAGCAACTTAACTGTCGCCTGAGCTCAAGGCATATTCACTTACCAATCCCTAAACTTCCCTTGACTCAATGATCGATAATTTTAGTTCCCTAAATCTTATTAGTAATATCTAACTGAGAAGTCTTGCGACTATATGGCGCAACTACACTCTTCGAAACATTAGAGGAAGCCCCTCAATGTGGCACTTGTATGTCTAACAGAATCAAGCAGTGATGTGTATTACCTAGCAAGTCCTCGATACCTTCCGTCGTTCTCTCATTTCTCACGCAGACAACAGTATATGAATAACTTCGTGGCTTGGGCGATTTTTTATACAGAAGTCTGTAGTGGAAGGGTTAAAACTTTTTGGTAAGTTAAACTGCCCACAACGACCACAACCTTGTAACAAGACAGAGGGTACCTACAAGAGGCCACAAGCGTGGACATTAGGAGGAAATGGTATGTCTGAGTACTGGCGACCGCTCAGCGCGCGGTAACGTTTTGGCTAATTAGAGTTTTGTTTCATTGCCCCGTGGCTTTGTTCCTCTTTCCCTATATTCGGCCTGTACTTTCGGCCCTGCTGTGACGACTACAGCACTCACATGCTTTACTAGCTCTATCCACAAGTTTCCACGAGATTCGAGACGGAGAAGGACCACTTGGAAGCAGGCGGCCTTGTCTCTCGCGGTGGAGCCTACAACAAACGTCGCCGCGCGATGGCGTTGTGCCATAGCGTATGTACGTCATTACTTTGTCCATGGCAAACACCACACAGATGGGAAAAGAAACCCACTATCGTTGCTGGTATGCACAGCGGGACGGTGCCTGGGCAGACGTGCTCATGATTACTAAGGCGATGGCCAGGGTAAGAATACTTTGTTTTTCCCTTTTTCTAAACTCCCTGTTGAGTTGCGCTCATGATGGCTCTCTCTGTGGGTTTGGAACAGAACACAGCTTCGTCAGCTATACAAATAAGGGTGCGTGGAATAGGACCGCAACGATGACGAGCACGGGAATCTGCTAAGGAAAAAAACTTGCTGCTACTGCTGATACAGACTCGCACATTAATAGTGGTGAAAACCCGCACGCTGACTTCCAACTGTTGACACGTATCTGCTAGTTTAGTGCATGTGTGCCTCTCGTGACTTAGAAAGCGGGTGAACAATATAGATCGATACGGAGGTTCATGGTCTTATTGGTTTGTGCTTCATTCGTGTTACCGCGTCTTAATTTCTAGGAACGCCGGCTCCACAGCTCACCTGGGAAAAGGAGGGTCAGCTGGTCGAAGTTGGAGCCGATAAGCATGTGTCTATATCCGACACCGAGCTAAAGATTGGCTCACTGCGTCAAACGGACGTCGGAGAATACGTCTGCGTGGCGAAGAATTCACAGGGGTCGGTGAGCGCCAGCTCGAAAGTGATCATTGCTGGTCCCGCGGTCATCACATCGCCGCCGACGAACCTCACTAAAATTGAAGGCAACCACGCGGAATTTATTTGCGAAGCGAAGGCATTGCCAGCGAACATCACCCATAGGTGAGAGCTTTAAGCTAAGATCCACATCGCTCTGAGTGAATGTCCGCTCAGAATATGAGAGTGTCACATCGCTTTATATTAGCATTTTGTAACAATATATATACCTGATATGTGTTAATAGTTGACTGACTCATATAACGGATGGATAGTATACGTTTGAAGAAGGTAGTTTTTTAGGAATAACCCAATGGAGCTATGACATTACCTGCTAGCTTAGACTATTATAGCTATGGCTATTTTTATGAACAGATATTATCTATATTTAGGCCATGATGTGACTATTCACTCTATTTACCAGTTGATCTTGCATTTTTGCTTTTATCTTTAGTACTTTGTTTATTGAATAAATTATATAGCGTCTTTAATCTAAATGAGAACGTATCTCATTTTGCAGTTTAGACGAAACATCAACTGGCGGAATCTATAAAACGATTGTCTTTCAATTTCATAATAATTCCATGTTTATTTCGTTCCTTCGCTCTGTGCTACTATTTTTACCAGCTATTAGTACTTATTTATGCCTTCAAATAAGCGTTGCTTTAACGTAATTTTCTTTTTTTGCACTCCAGTCATCGTGCACGTGTTAGTGCGCCCTAGCGACGTGCTGGATAGTTGCATGATAGATAAGGTCATTATCTCGCTTGTGACAACAGGTATGACCTCAACATCTGTACGCAGTTACGTGCTGTATGTTCGGATAAAATCCTACAAATAGTTCATGTCCACTGACATTACCACTTCAACTGATTGAGTATGCGGCTCATTCTCTCGCTCTATAAAGTCAAATATAACGACCGTCAATGAGTGGATCACTTATGCCGTTTAGATGTATGGCAAGTGATAACAAGTGTATAATGATCCCGTTTCTACGACAGGTATAGACCAGCTGGACCGACATCGCGTATCTGCTATAATTATACACACATAAATATATAGATACATGGAAACGATTCTGCGCCAACTTGGTCCGCATTTTAGTTGGTAGCTGCTGCGGATTCGGATATACCGCAATAGCGAAATCAGGATTTCTGTCATCGACGCGCAAATGAGCCAAAAACAGCGCGTACCGCTCACACTTATTTTAAGAACACTCGCGTCATCCTTCTGTTCGCGCTTTTATGTCTCTCTTTATTTTTCCCACTTCTTTTTTTTCGCTACGTTTTAGGTTCTTTCCCAGGTACGAAATTTTCAGCATTGTAACTAGAGCTCCCGATTTGCCTAGCCAGACACGCTTCTAGTACTATGCCATCGCCCGTGACCGGTGTCGTCATGACTGACCGCACCGAGAGCATGACTGGTCGTACTCGACGCTCGGAGGTCCTTTGACCGATTGCCAGATGAAGTCCAACGACAAAGGTGCAACGTTGTCGAAAAACAGCTTCCTCGCTCAATCTTGTTATTTTCCCAACTCAGTTCTTTATTGAACACTAGGGCTAGCACCTTGGCAATTGTAGAACTCTACTACAAGTAATGGTCAAAGTGTTTGTCTTAAGTCACATCTCGGCCCTTGGTGTCTTGGCCTGTTTGCCACTTTTCTTGCCTGCGAATCGGATTTCTTACAGTATCGCATTGCGCTTTATGTCGACTAGCCTTTGTTTACGACAGTCACTGCATCGTCGTGCATTCATGTGTACGCATATATCAAATACCTCAAATTGGTTTCTGAAAAAGAAACGACTCAGGTCTCAGGAAACGACTCAGGAAATTCAGGTCTGCCCCCTGCTTCATTTTATAATTGCCTCTTTTCGTTAGGTCATGCAAGCCTCGCAGTGCGTAGTTATAAAAAAAAAAACATGTACCTGTCTAATAGGGGAATAAGGGGATGGCTTGAAATAAGAAAGATTTACCAAAACGCCTGCCAACACCGAAGACTAACTGCATTGGATTTTCTTAATTATCTTTTACGGACATATGTGTACATATGCAGATGTAGATGCAGACAAATAAAGGCTTGCTTTTTACTCTACTTCTAAGAAAGATCAACGTACTGAAGCTGCTGTAAGCTGCCGTGTCCCGCTTGAGTTCAAGCGAGATAAGGTGAAAGTAATTTCAAGCTGTAGGGCATAAGATAGACCAGACGCACATGGTAGGGCAGCCGTATGAGCAAAGCAAGGTATACCTAAATACCTACATAGACTTTGCCACGCGATCATGCGTACAGCTTCCTTATTGCTAACAGTAGTCACTGGTGGGCATACCCTTTTTGCCCCCTGCCACTAACCGTAGTGAGCTGATAACTCGTTTCTAGTCTTCTCTCCTTTTCACTTTTATATCCAGCTATTGTCTGGCCTCATCCTGTTTTTGTTGAAGCTGGCCGCGCTCTGTTTGTTTCTACAGGTTGGAGGATCGACGGCTAACTCAAACGAAGGTTTCGGAATAACGCTCTCGATCGGTCGCTCGCAGCCATGCGGTTGGCAATGACGGCCTGAGCTTCGGAGGCAGTATTAGCCAGTTGCCCACTGAGAGGGTTAAGGAGCAGCGAACGCACTGGTGTAAGCAAAGAAGTCGCGAAGGAGAGAAGGAAGACGGGCAGGGGTTTAACGGTGAAAACTTTTTTATTTGAAAGGTATTGAAACCCGGCAGTGAAATACGCGCCTGTTTGGGCGGATCTACACGCTAGACTAAAGAACGGAGCAAAAAGATGAGGGGGTGGGAAAAGTACGTTGAAAAACAGGGACCAAATTTTGGAAGGCAGCGTACATTGAGAGCTATGTTGAGGATGATAGGTGGGCGAAAAGAACTGGATGCAAACTTCCCAGTTGAGCAAGCTGGGCACCTGAAACCGCTGCGAAAAGCTTTTAAGCCTGCCGGCTCCAATGCCAGAACGTTCGTGAAACGAGAAGGAACGAATGGAATAGCCTTCACGCGTTAACACTAGGATGTATAGCCCCATAGCGAATTTGAATAGAGCGCCAGCAACGGCGACCCTCGTGCCAACGGCGGCTGTTACAGCGGCATATGAAAAGCCCTTCTCTGCTCACTTAAGTTCAGCCGACGGTCGGCACCGACAGGGAGGTTAGTTTACAGTGCGGACTGTTTCTGACCCTGAGGTACCAGGAAGCTATACTGGGTCCCCGGTCGTTCCGCGTTGCTAGCGACATACAGGAGGCAGACGGTGCCTTTCGGCCAAACGAATGTGGGATGAGCGAGGCCAACGCATTGATCAGAAACTGTACGTAGTTTGGGAGTGTGATCGGGGACCTCTGAGGAGATGTTCACAGTATCGTGCAAAGCAGGCGGCGGCTTCGAGGTTGCCAAGGCAAACTTAGAAGTCTTGCAGTAAACCTAAGTTGGGCCACGTCTCTTTCTAGGCTCTATCGTCATGGTGGTAATCATCGCCGGTTTATCACAATGCGACATGTAGCATTGCATTGGTCATAGTTGTAAAAAGAAGCTTCTCAAAGGCCCTTGAAATGCGGCTACCGAAGCTGAGGCTATAACAGGCTGACCGACCGTGAAAGACAAGTCGAAGTAGCGAAGCGGATTCAAAGACGACCGCGCAGGAGAGAAGGGGAAAAATGCCTTTTCGGCCAGAGAGCGCGCGGTAAAAATATTTTTTTTTTTATAGTTCTGATGAAACAAGTTACACGTCAAGCCGGCGTTTGCAAAAACTGTAGTACACCCTTTTCCGTGCCTGTGAAAGCAATGGTGATGTCCAAACAACGGGAGGGGAGAAAGAGGACAAGTTGAGAGTTGACGAGATCTGAGGGTTAAAGAGCGTACGCAAATCATTACATTGTCTTGCACAATGTTTCAATGAACTGCTAAGTCCACTCACCTACATCACTGCGTCACAAGTACACGGCATTGAAGAAAAAAATATACAAAGTCTGTGTCCATAGAAAGGAAATGCTGTGATTTTCACCATTTGATCTGGTAATTGTTATGCTTCAGCAAAGCTACCAAAAGGTAAATAAGTTATGAACTGTAACCATTAAGGTCATGTTATGTTACAGAGAAATCTACGCCGCCAGCGACTGTCTGGTTACAACGTTTTCTGTTGCTTAAATCTGCTAATTCAAGTGATAAAAGCAAAGCTTGCAGTTTTTTTTGCGCAAGTTAACGTGGTATGCTCGCATCGAAAACCTTTATTATTGTTTACAAACCGTGATTTATAATCTATCAACTTTCTAGAACTGGAAGAAAATGTTAATACATTGCAATAAAATTATGCTACACGTCATGACTATTCCTTACCATTAACCTATTCTTACCATTATTACACCCTAAATACTCCAAGCCTAAATTGGATTTAATGATGAAAGATGCTTTTTTTAAAGCAAGCCTCCAGGACAAAGTTCTTTCAGTTTTTGCTGGGAACAGAAGCGCACCTAGCTACTGTGCTAAACAGCATGACGGCTTTGATAAAATACCTGAAAAAATGGTGAAAGCACTGTAGCTATTCAGTAGGAGCCTGGCCTGAGCTTAGGCTAAAACCTTGTACCCCTTAAACAACACGAAAACATAGATACAATGACGCAGCCGTCGAGAAAGCAAATTGCGTTCCTATTTCTCCGCAAGCCCCTGTTTCGCCCCTCCGGTCCGTCGCCTCTGATCTTTTTGTCAGCGAATACATTGATTCAATGGCAACAAACCGCAGGGCCAGATTCGTTTACTTTTCTCTATTCGCTTGGTAAAATAGCAACCGTAGTTCCTAATCCAATGTGATGAACTGAGACAGAGGGAGAGAAGCAGCACGAGCTTAATTGGGAGAAACCAACAAAAACTTGCTAAGAATAGGGCAATCCGTGTACTTCGTAGAGAAACTGAGTATTCGAGCAGTTTTTTAAATGGTGTTCGGTTAGAACGGATATGTCGAATAAATCGGGCAGTATAACGTATTCGCTGTATGGCTATATTAACGGATCTCGATGTCAGCAGCCTCAAATGCATCCACACCCAGCGAGCAGAGGTCCGGCACGATCTGGTTTGATAATGAGCTATCGAGATGCTCGCCACGATTAAGAAGCCAACCGTTGGCTTCCATTTTTGATCGAGGCTTATATAACTAACCTAGCGTACATGTATCCTGTGCATACATAACATAGAAGGCAGATTTTCTTTGCTTCAGTATTGAATTATACAGTTTGCACGACACGGTAGGACTGTGCGGCGGGGACCTGCGTGTTCGATACGATATATTGGCTCAATCGTGTTCACTCGTCATTGCAGGTGGTTGTATAACGGAATTGATATAGCAAAGGTAAGCTGGCTCTATACCCGGACGTTACTGCGACAGGACGGCACGCTTTTCATCTATCCCACATCCGCCGAAGATTCTGGCTGGTACACCTGTGAGATCTCTAACGGTTAGTACGCATAAATCTATTGAATCTCAATAGTTTGTTTGGTCAGAATCGCCTGCTTTAGTTTAATTTTTGCAAGCCTTCAAAGTATAGCTTGCTGTCACAGTCGTACAGCGGGTCTTCTTAAATACAGATGCACTTTTCTCCACGTAGAAACTGTTCTAAACTCCTTACCGAAAAGTCTAATTAGTTAAAGTCGTCTGTCGAAGCTACCATCATCTCGAAAACTACAACTGGTCTTGAGAGAATCTTAGGTTTTTCGCCACTGCTGCCTTTACGGTACTCGTTGCAAGACCATCTTTTTGGCTTAGTAATCAAGCATATAGAAATTTCTTTGAGTAAGAACTTCAGTCACAATCACCTACAAAATACTGTGAAAAGATAACGATGAAGATACGCTTCATGGCACCGATATTTGAATGAGTGTCACAGTTCATATTGACTTTGTTTATGTCTAGTAGCGGAGGCAGACTCAACTTGAAGGCGCCCTGTGAAATTACGCTTTTCTGCTTTTAGCTAGCGCTGTTGCAGCTGCTGCGCTTCTTGACGGGGTCGGATGTGTCTGGCAATTTTCACAATGCCCCTTTTAATCCGCTAACAACCAGTTTTCGAAATTCCTCTTGCGCATAACCCCCAACCGCTCGATCTAGTTTTTGACATCAGTTATTTATGTGCATTCGCGTCATATCGAAGGATAAATCGATCCGCTTAGATATGCTTAGACCGCATGTCTGTGACTTATGTCCCTTTCTAGCTGTATGCTCCTTTGCGCTAGCAATCGCTTCGGCCCGTACATGGCAGGTGCAAAGTGTGCCCCTTTCTCTTTTGCCGTTTCGAGGAAAACGATAAAGAGTCGAAACGATTGGAGTTCTATGTCAAAAGTAATCCTGTCTAAAGCGAGTATGTGTTCGGGGGAAGCCTTGCGTTTCACCCTGTATCAACTTGGAGCATTGATCATATAAAAAAATATCGAGAATGCGCGGTCTCGTTGAACGGCTGTTACCTGTAGTTGCAGTGTCAGTTATAAATGAACGCTGTAAGTGTTCTATATCTGTTCTTTGATCAATCGAATTGAACCTCGAATAATATCAGGGGCGTGTTTTTTCGTATCACCAGACGAAATACTACAATCAATGCAACATGCTTCTTCGTCTCGTACATGAGGCCCGCTATACCAGAATAGCTGCGAATCCCTATATGTAGCTTTCATAAACCCTTCCATTCTGAGCAAAGGCAGTAAACGTTACTGATTATTATTCTATATGTTTCCCACCAAAGTATTTAAAAGCCTCCCTAAAATAATATAAATTCAAAAAGGCTTCAGATATTAGACGAAAGCGTTCGCCGATGTAATGGCGTAGGTGTCGCTAGAGAAAAAAGATTATCCAAGGGTTTCGTAATAATCGTGGCAGCGGCACCGGCTGTCTTGTATTACAGCGCCACTGTAACAGTATCTTGTGGCGAAACATGATAATATTTATGCTCTATTCATCGCCCCCCGGTCTGACCCGTGCTTCCGAGTCGTCCTTGACAGTCGTATAATCATCTTCCCTAAGAAAGCTGAAAGTGTTTTGTGAAAGAAATCCCTTATTATCCCTTATATAAAGAATATTCGTCGTTCGTCTAACAATGAACATCTAAAAAGTCCTGATGGTTTTAAGAGCTCTTTCCGAATTTTTACTCGGCCTATGGTTGTCTTCTTATCGACACTGAACAAATCGACGTCACGTATTGTTAAGAAGCGTCATTTGTAGAGCTTGGTTTAGCAACGAACCCCTATTATCAAAGAATCAGAGCGTAAATACGGACGGTATCGGAGATAACGTTTTCTGCCGAGTTTCTACGTAACGTGTCGCATATCGTATTTTCAGCATCGCCCTTACCTGCTTCTCTGAACCGTATCAAATCTTCTGTCCTCGTCTTAAGTCAGCAGCCTAGATCGATGGATGCGTAAAGGTGTTTTTTGCAAGGCCTTTTTTGAGAGGCTGCAAAGGTCGTTGATTCGACATTTGCATCGCATTTTCTTGTGTAGAGGCTGGATCAAATTTTCTATAGCGCTGTTTCTCCTTAACGGTGCATTTTCGGTGCAGATACGGCATTCTCCGCTTTCGTTGCGCTTCACGCCGTGCATCTTCAGTGAGCCGAGATACGTTGGGGACTGAAGGCAACGCATGGCAAAGAGTAAGCTCATTAAACCTGACGCACCTGTTGCATGAACAGAGAAGGTCAGCTCAATGTAGGAGTGCCTTGAGTTGTCCTGTTGCCTGCTCCCCACTAGCGATAGAAGCATGAGAGACCTCCAAAAACGGAGGCATCAGCCAGTCCGATAGAGATTTGAGTGACCCTAACACCATCACTGTTCAAGCAGCTTTACTGAAAGACACTGTCTCTCCAAGCCAGCTTACTAGCTCTCTAACGGCAAACAGCACATTCCCAGAGGCAGGGGACAGGCCACGTTAAAGCTGACGGTGCTCCGGTACATCAAATGTAAGTGCAGCCCCTGTGGGCCCAGGCCAAAACACGACCAAGTAGTTAGCCTTGGTTAGCTGTTAGTACCAAAACGAATATCCCATGCTTTTGGGGTTTCGCACTCTTCTCCTGTCTGCTATCTTCTGCTATTATTGTTGCACGGTGATCTCCCGGGGCCGCTTAAAAAGAATGAAGCCTCTGGCTTTTCCGGCTGGCTTTGCCCCTTCGACAGAATCGTTGCGCTTATACAGATTTTTGTTTGCCTTGTCTGTCCTGCCAGCAGCGCATTCGCTTGAGGAACAGCGGTGCCTTTGCCTTTTTTTCTTCAACGCCATTGGGCGGATTATGAGAGGAACAGGCATTGGGCACAACGGCCTGTTATAACAGAGAGAAGCCCCAGTGGTTTTGTTGGCCCACGACCAGTTTCCGTAGTCAACCACCGCCTAACTGACTCTGTCGCTGGAGGCACCAGCAAGCGTCCCGCCTTGGTTGCCAGCAGTACCTCGTATCTATTCCATAGATTCACGCACCTATCTCTCCATTTCTTAGCGTTTCATTTCCTTGCCCTTGCTGTTCGAACCGTTTTGTTACTGCGGTAATCGTCTCCATAGCACCAATGGTAACAGGAGCAGGGGCGTAGTAACACGTGCCCATGTGTACAACTCCAAGTAGAGGATGACGCAACTCGCACTGTTCTACTGTACAACGAACGTTAAATCAACCGTTGCAACGACGTTTAGCATGCCTATCATGTAGGCCTGCCAAGTGTTTATCTCATGACTGAGTTACGTTGCTCATCTGCCTGCCTTGTAGGTTAAATGCAGTATTCAGGAGAGCCACCATTCGGCTGTTTGCTTCCTGCTTTTCCTTTTCTACCGAAGCTTGTCTTATTTTTAACTCCGCTCCAGAACTGCTGCCTCCACTGCCGTGGCGTGCAACTCATTCCTCTAGGTGTTGCTGTCTTTGTTCATAACAGCGAACTGCCATTGAGTCCGCAGGACTCAATACACTAACGAATCATAAGCAAAGTGTCTAATAAAGACGCTAGTCCAAGGGAACCATCCATATGAGAAAGTAACTCGTGGCTCTTATGTGCTCAAAAATGGCAAATACTAGGTGCGTCCGTGCTGATCGTCGAACTCAAGGGAACCTACCAGAGCGCAAAGCAGCGTTCAGCAGTCCCAGAAATATTATTCTGCCTGCAGCATCCCAACGTATTCCATATGTAGTGCCATCCCAACAGCCTCCGGGGTGCTTGTGCTTCTGTTGTCGGCTTCTATCGTCAACCGTTTGTTCGGCCGTTTGAATCGAGTGGTTTCCACCCAACCGAAGCTTTTAACTGGAACTATGGTTCAGTGACTCGAATGCTTCAACAAACAAATACCCCTATCATGCATAGGTTTTCGTACAGTATGTATGCTTTTTGCTTGGCTGTGACCATCCTTTGCTTACTTCGTGGTCTATGGTTTCACTGCGGCGACGTGAAGTTATCCAAAGGAAATTCTCAAAAAACCGATTTCAACGATGGCGTTTCATACGGGTCCGTAAAGATTCATAGCCAACGGTTTGCTGCCGATTAATACAGCGAGATTCGTATTAGTTCGAGCTGGTCGTCAGCTAGAAATCCTCTTCGTGTGAAAAAGTCTTCACAATCATATTTTTCGAATGCTTTAAAGATTGACGAGAGGATCTTCCCGAGTTTGTTTTCAGGGTTTCTCCGACAGAACTACCCCCATCTCACTTCGTCTGCGTCTTTCATAAATCCCTTGTTAACACCGGTTACAGCTAAGGTGTAGCCCAACGGTGACTGACATGCCTTTTGTGTATGACTGCTATGGCGCCGTTCTCAGAAAAATGCGTCTGAACTATCTAGACCAAGCAGCTTTCTACAGAAGTTAAAGTTATATAT